GCTATGCGGATGAGCCTTGTTCAACATAATACATACTCGAAAACCCAGCCCTGCTTAAGGTATCCGAGAGGAGACCACGTCTTTAAAATGTATTACAGAATTTTTTCTGACCATTCTTAAGTCACTGAGGTCTATAGGAATTGGATCCAGTTTCAAGTTCCCCTGGGAAAACTAATTTTCTACACATGATCTGAACCTGCAGAGCCGCATAATGGAAGCAAAGTTTATTACAGGGCTATTTGGTGGATACTCAATATTTAAGTTGTGAAACATTTTATATTCTAGGTGTACATTTACCAGTATGTAAAGGGCTTCAAATTGAACCTGTAGCAAAAGTTTACAACACCCTAAAAATATCCGATATAAAAACTGTAGCAAATCACCCTCTTTCCTACTTCCTCAATTTCTAAATGTTCCTTCTGTCCAGATTCATAGTTTGCTTTGATCTCTTCTTTCATAGAGAGTCTAAATTTAGAGTTCAACCAGAGGCACACAGGTAGGAGGGGTAGAGGCAGAGGTGGAGAGCTCACCAGATCTTGTGGGGACTTCCAAACAAAAGAGGGCACATTTCTGGGTGTCTCCAAATTGAGTACACAGTGGTATTGTAGGGTTCTTTGTAGGGGACCTTGAATATTAGGTCTCCAAGATCTTCTGTATCTCCAATTATTGCTTGCTGTATGCCATGTTTTAGAAAGGCATTAATTAGCTAACCATCTTTCCTTTCTCCACCAACACATACTCTGCCTCTTAGGATCTCACATGGACCAGCTCAACTCATGTCATGAGCAAAGCTCAGACTGCCCCCTTCTCGTTGTTACTGCTATAGGGTAATAACACAAAGAGCAGTGGACTCAGAACCAAAAAATCTGGGTCCTGATTTGATTGATTCTGCTGCTTACTGAGTTATGAGACCTTGGACTAGTTGCTTGCTTCAGCTTCCTCCTGGAGGTTTTAAAGTTAGGATTCCTTGTTTCCCTCTAGAGTTGTGCACGTGCGCGCGCTCTCTTTATCTCTCTCATTTTCCCTTCAGGTATTGAGTGAAGAACAGGGTCATCATACCCTTACTTGAAGGGAAAGAAATCACCCTTAATTTCTTCTGTAAGACAGACAGATGGTTGAGGTGAGACCAAGCTGCTTGTGAGGTACTAGCCCCTTCTCCCCACCTTCTGCATTAGAAATTATCATGCTATAAATGCTGACCTTTGCAGTAGGAAACACCATGGCCCCCTTAGACCCAGCTCATGGTTCAGGTTCTCAGGAGGAAATGATGGTGAGAGTCAGTACAGCAGTCAAGTTCTAAAGAGACCGGGGAATTAGGAAATCAGTGCTAGGAATTTAGTCAAATAGAGTCAGTGAAACTCCTGGTGCTCAGCACAGGACCCAAGTATATCAGAACCTTCTCCTTGGTGATGGCCTCATGGACTCGTTCACCTGTTTGTTCTGTGAAATCCAGCTACAACTCTAGGCCTCTGCCCCACGCAGATGAAGGTAGTCCCCTCTCACCCCTAGTATTGTGTTCACCTTTCTATAGCACTCAGTAGGTTGCATTGTGATTTATTTTGGTATGGGTCTATCTCTCCTACTAGACTTTGAGATCTCCCGAGATTATTAATCTTTGGTTCTCCAGCACTATCACAGCACCTCACATATAGTAGGAGCAAAACAAATGCCTGTATCCCCATACCCACTGTTTATTGAATTTAGAGGCACACGGAGAAAAGGAGTGTGTTGCCATCAGTAGGGAGTCTGAAACCTCTGACCAGAAGCTCTCTGACGGGTGTGTCTAAATTCAGAGTCAGCACGTGGGCCTCAAAACCTCCCTCCCAGTTCTGCAGAATGCTTTTGCTGGACCTGCCACCCAATATTCCCAAAACTCAGAGGTGGAGGAAATGAAGCAGGGCCAGGGTCATCTGTGAATCAAAGTGCTGAATCAGTTTTCACTAATACCCCTTGGTCCCCTATTCCTATCAATCAGAGAGAAGTTTTCACAAAATAATTTGTTTCGGTTGTGTAAATGTCTGTATTTTGTGGTCAGTTGTGGAAGAATGCCATTAGCAAGCTGCTTTTTTATGTACTAATATGATCACAAATATATAAAATATCTGAGGGCTTTTGCATAAGTGTTCTGATAGGGAATAATGCTGAGAATGTGCAAAACAAAAGAAATGAAGGGAAAAAAAAAGGTTGTGGGAGAAACATGTTTACTGATTGTACATGCTCACACAATTTAGAAAAGTGCCCCTCAGATACTTCTGGAAGAGCCTATTTATTCTAATTTTAGACACATTTCAAATGGGTGTGGCTTTGGATAACTGGTTTCCCAGGCCACAGTAAGTCAGAGATAGCAAATTAGATAAGTTGGAGGCAGGCACTCTGACACATCAAGAAGTGACAGTTGGCAGCCTGATCATGAGTAAAGAGACTGAAAAACCTATAAAAAGCAGATATAAGAACTCAAAAAGAATTTAGCACAGATCCCAGTACTCCCAGATGACATGCATTGTGCAAAAGTGATGTTTATCATGGTGACCCTGATTTATTGAGAATGGATAACTATGGAAAGGGTACTTCTTTCTAAGACATATTTAGACACTTTAGAGGACACATGTAACATATTTGAGTAAGCTTTCCGCTAAAAAAAATGTAAGGAAAAAAAAAGAAAAGATAAACAATATGGCACTTGAACATAGAAGCTTCAGTTTTCTGAATCATTGTTTCATGGGGTCACATCCCTGAGGCCAGATAACTTGGACATCACTGGATTCAGAATTTTAAAATATCAACTTTTAAAAGGTATAGTTTGACATTTGTTCGGAGTTTCCAATACGGAATCACTGAACTAGTGTGAGCAGCACAATTATAAGACAAATGTCCAACTCCTTTCTAAGAGCCTATTTTTAAAGTACATGCTGAACATGTTTTTTAGTATAAATCTCACAGGAAATATGTGATAATTTTCTGTGTAAATCTTCTATTAAATTCTATGAAAACTAGAACTTAACACTGTATTTAAGCCTACACAGTATACCCATTTTGAGCTGATGTAAAGCAACACAGAACAATGGGTATTGATGTGAGGGTCCAGTAGGTTATGAATTTTTGTTTAATGGAAAACACCAGATTGCCATCTGAAGTAAAAGACGATTATCACCATAGTACAGCCAGCTTTTAGCATTATAATGGCCTTCATTGGTTCATGAGGGCTCTGTTCATTTTCGTCTAAAGGCCTTAGTATGTTTGCCCAGCCTTGTCTTCTAAGGATCTCAGATTGGCAATCACCTTCCATGGAGAGGTTCAGAACTGACCTGTGACACATTCAGAAATAGGCTGAGGCTTCCTTTACCTCCTTTTGAACAAAACTTAGGGCCTGCATGGCCAATAACAGAGAACTAAATGAAAAAAAAAAAATACTTTTCACAATGATAGGAACTAAAATCCCAGTCAAACTTTAAATAGTTATTAAAATGTAGTTTCTAGTGCCTTAGCTCTTTATGGGGAAAAGGCCACTTAGCAATTCAGAATAATGTTTGCTGAGAAATATATGTATGCAAAATCAAGTGGCATAATACTATAGGTATGCTATATGTATACAAGCAGCACTAACCCACGATTGGTATTTGTCTTACGTTGAAAAATCACATATATTACAACACGTTTTTGCTTAAAGTTCACCACTGCAGGTATAGGACCATCCTTGTGAATCATTCCTGGAGTCATCATTACTCCAGTGTTTTAATTCATAAAATAATCAATTACCAAAATAACACATTTCAGATGCCATGTAGACAGTATTATTTTTCGGTTCTGAAAATCTAACTTTATCTTATTACCATGTAAGTACATGGGCATTTGGACTAAATAACTGACCTATAAAATCTGGTCCAACCCTAAGGTTTTTTACTTTATAATACATCTATTGTTCTCCAATTAAATTTGAATCTTTTTTGGTTATGAAACTAATATTATTACAGTATGACATTAAGATGTAGCTCAAAATACTTAAAATACGACTTTTTCCAATTATTCTGAGTTAGAAAATATTTTTCTAAGTTCAGTAGATTACAATGCTCCAAAATCCTACATGGTTTTCTAATGGTAATTTTTACTTCCTTTGTTCTTGTGGTTTATTTGTGACGTTTCATGAATGCTGTCCAATCAAATTCAGTTTATGTGTTGAAGATGCTGTGGTGGTAGGTAGTTTACTGACTGGGGATGAAGTAGATCTTGGCCTCTTTTGCTAGCTACAGGTAGCTGTTTGTCTGATCTTAGGAGGGTATAGGATAGCTCTGGACTTCATATTGTAAAATGCAGGGGGCTTGACAAATTCATCTCTGAGGTTCCTTTGGCTCCACATTCTACGACTTGGTAGTTTGGTTGCCGTTAAGTCAGCAGAGGGAGCACTTTTTCTACATCTTATAAATTTTGACTATTATTTCAACACCTTTCAAAAATCAAGGGGTTTGTGAAGGTTATTGAAAGGAAAAATTGACAATCCTTCCCATATCAAATCACAAATTTGGCCATGAATCTGAGAAAAGCCTACAACTAATTTATTTCTTTTCCTTGAATTCCATGATTAAGTCCCACAGGAGAATTCTTTTATAAAGGTTAAGGAGTTAAAAATATAAGAAGAAAGTTAAGCACCCCAAAGTGGTAGTGTATTTATTCTGGACCCAGTGAAGGAGAAACGCCAGACCATACAAAAGTCTATCTGGATGAGAAGTCAAAAATTAATCAAAATCTTGAGCAAATTGGGTCTAAACATAAACAGACCACGCAAGGGATTGGTAGGTTTTTCTTTTGCACTTTTCATTGAGATACATTGGAAACAAGTAGGCAGACACAGCCAGAGCCTGAAGGCTTGTAAGAAACTGGAAACGTGTGCTATCAAGCCAATGACAAAGTTGTATATCTGAGAACGTTATAACTTTCATCCCTAAATTTATAGATACCTTAAAACTAATGGAGCATTATGCCTTTTTAATTATTAGACAATCTCGTATCGTATATTAAAGTTTTTATTCCTTAGTAAGAATTTTAAAATCACAAAATAGTGTGGCAATATTTAGGTAATAGAATTTACGGAGTGCTGAAAATACTAGAATATAAAGATAATTTCTAGTTTATCTTCACATACTAAAATTTTCTAAACCAGCTGGTTTCTTGCAGACGGTATTTATTTTTTTTTTAATAATTTAAGACAGCATAAGCTTGTACCAAGCATAAGCATTGTAACAAAAGTGCAACTTTTCAGCAAATCCTCCCCAAAAGATATTTTAACTCAAAATATCATTAGCACATAGTTTCTCCCTACAAAAATAGCATGTCAGACATCATTAATTGGATGTATTAACAACTATGTACATAAGAGCCACCTTGTAGGCTAAGAGTTTAACGTTGTTTAAACACAGCGTTTGAGGCAAACAGTAGCAACAGCAGCAGCAAATGCACCAAACTGACTAAAAGACCCAGATATTTTCTTCACTTATAGTCAGACTGTTGTGTCTCACCCCTTACATAACATTCAAGTGAGATTTCTCACAGTGCTACCTTGGCAACAAACTAAAAATATCTAGACAAGGTCTTGGTTTAAGCCTTATTAAAAAAGCTTTCTTTGTGATTATCTGGTATCTGGTTTGGTCTCCAGAAAATACATAGACTTGGAGATAGGAAGGCCTCCCAAGGCTTCATTCCACATCTTTACAGCATTTCCAATAAAAAATGACCAGTTTAATGCTTTCCTCCACTTTTGTTATTTAACAGAAAATAGGAGAAATCATTTTGGATTTGTTTTTAAGTTCAGTGCACATTCCTTTTTTTTTTTACAGCAAGATTATAAAAACTTAAAACATGGTGAATTAAATAATGACAAGGTGGGAATAGATGCACTATATATATACATATATGCATATGTATATATATGAAACAATGAAATTAAGACAAGTCAATTAATTCACGGTTAATTTCTCCATAAAGTGCTAGTAAATGTACCAAGAATGATTCTGGCCTTCCTCATCCATCTCCTTCCCTGACTCAGTTCTGACAATGGCCCAACTCTGAGTCTCTTTAAACAAGAGCAAGTTACTAAGGGATACCATTCAAACCACTTCAGAAGAGGTTGCAACGTAAGTGACTGGATCCTCACTTCTTCCTCTTTGAAAAATATATGCCTTTTAAAAAGCTGAACATTATAAAATACTGAAGAGTAAATTCAATTCTAAAAGATCCTCATTCTGCCTGTGGAAAATCTCCTGAAGCAGGTGGGAGAGCTAGGCGGGCAGATAGGAACTACCCGCGGGCTTTTGGAGGTCAACTCCTGGGCCACAGTTCCCCTACCCTGGTTCAGTCAGCTCCCCCACGGAGCAGACCCTTCTCCGTCCGGAAATGGGTTCTGCATTTTAAAAAGATAATGGAACACGGCCTAAAGAAAGGCAAAACTGATTTGGGCGAATTCTTTAAAGAAAGTATCAATATTGCAGAGGTTCTTCTATAGCTGGTGAGGGAAGAAAGGGCCGTTAGTGTGCGGAGGGTGGGGTGGTGAGGGATGAGCAAAACAGGAACTCCAAATGTACACAAAACACCTGTGTTGTTGTTTTAAAAGCCTGTCGTGCATCTATTACACTTCCTCCCTTAAAAACGGTAAGGGTGTTTTACTTATTAATATTATTATTCCGCGAGAACCCTCGTCCTGTCTAAGAAAGGGGGCGAGGATTCAGTGGGTTTCCTTTCCTGGCTGCGAGGGATCTTCCTGAGCGGAGCTCTCCGGGTTCCCGGGCTCGCGGGCGCCGTTGAAGGACAGGTGGGTGCGGCCGTGAGGGTGCGGGGGGTGCAGCGCCCCAGGGGGCGCCACCTCGTGCGGTAAGAGGGTCGCGGCGGCGGCGCTGGCCTTCTCGGGAGGGGGCGACAACACCGAGGACAGGCAGGGGAAGGCGGCGGCGGCGGCGGCGGCTGCGGCGGCGGCGGCGGCGGCCGCGGGCGCGGGGATGCCGGGGTACAGCAGTGGGAACGGGGCGGCGGCCGCCGCCGGGTACAGGTACTTCTCCAGGCCACTCTTGTCCAGGAAGGGCTGCACGTAGGCGGCGGCCGCAGAAGGCGAGAGGAAGTAGAAGGGCAGGCAGAAGGGGGCCGCGGCGGCGGCGGCGGCGGGCTGCGCGAAGGGCGCGCCCCCGCCTCCGCCGAACGCCACCAGCGAGCTGAGCAGGGCGGCGTCGGGTCTCAGCAGTGCTGCTGCGGCGGCCGGGTCGGGCCCCAGGAGCGCGGCCGCCGCTGCCGCCGCGCCGCCCCCCAGGCCGCCGCCGCCGCCGCCGCCGCCGCGAGAATCCAGCTTCATCCTCTTGGGCGCCGGCGAGTCCTCTCCGGGGGGCTCCTGCTTGATGGTGACGCGGCCCGCCCCGGAGCCCTTGCCCTTCTCGCGGTCCGGCCTCGCCTCGGCCTCGCCGCCGTAGCCGCTGTCTGTGTCCGTGTCGTTCTCGGCGGCGAGCTCGGCGCTGGGCTGAGTCCGCTGGATGACCGGCACGCAGTGGGCGAGGGGCTCAAGCTTCTGCCCCCCGCGCTCCAGGCAGGGGGCGGCCGGGGACCCTGCGGGGGCGGCGACCGAGGGCGCGCCGGTGCCTTTGCTCAGAGGAACCTGTTGAGTCAACAGCTGGGGGGTGGGCAAGAACTGGGTGGCCACGGCGTGCAAGTGGTTGATCAGCTGGACACACCGCTGCTCCCTAGGCGTCCAGCTCTCAAACCGGGAGAGGTATTGCAAGACTTCTTTGGCGCATGTTTGAAATCCCGAGTGGAACGCATCCAAGTCGGACTGAATGGGCGATTTCAGAGATCGCTCCCCTAGGACGAGGAAGGGGGTGGGGGTGGGGCAGAGGAATGGAGGCAACAAGAAAAATACCGACGTTAAAACATCTGCTTATCACGTGGGCCCTACATTGACTAAAGTGATCTCGGTTTTTCCTCTGTATTCGGGTGATATAATCCACCGGTTGCCGAGGGGCGGGGGGGGGGGGGGGGGGGGGGGGAAGCAGGGGGGCGCTCTACTCCCAACTGAAAAGCCAAAGTGGAGAGCGCAACCGCCACTTTAAATAAAAATCTGATTCCTCTGAGTTCTGCTGAAAGCCTCTAGGATGCTTCGGGAAATGGGCACTTTCCAACGAAGGGAAAGTATAAGCAATTTAACAAATGAGAGTGAGCCCGTGGGCCCGAGGAAGGAGGTGGGGGGTGGGGGCAGAGTCCTAAACACTGCCCCTCCGTGGGCCGCCCGGGTTCATCAGGGGGAGCTGGCCTCCCTGAACTGACTTACCATTCTGTAAAGCAATTATCTTCTGATGCTGCTGTTCGGTTAAGGCTGTTAAAGCTTTTAAGTGTTTTAAAGTTAATTCCAAGACTACCGCTTTCTCCAGATGCCCCAGAGTCTGCAATGGTGCAAAAGACAAGGGGGCACTTGGTTACTAAAAACACATATTTGGCTTGATTGGCTCTCTTCTCAGCACAGCAACTTAAGCAAAGACTCGGAAAGAAGTACTATTCCTATACTTCTTGAGCTTTCCAGAAGATGGGTTATACATGACTTCTTGCCTTCAGTTGTGAGCACCTACTCTTGAGTTTGTGGGAAACTCTACACTACAGCACAAGTAGTAAGGCTTATGATATTTACATTTATTCTTCTATCTCTGGGAGTAGTACCAAGCTATTAACACGCCCTTGGAGAGCAGCAAAGAATGAAAATGTGCATCTTACTGTCAACTTCAGATGTTCAGGCAGTAAATCTTTCAGCTGAGCAATGCATTCATTAATTCGATCTCTTCTTTTCTTTTCTATTAATCTGTGCGGTAATTTGTAGGTATCCTTAATATACGACAATCATGGAAGAAAGACAACAATAAGCTACACATTTATTGGATAAGACAATAAGCTTCCCTCCCCGAACCCCCCCCCCCCGCAATATTATGTGATAAACTATGCCCAAGAACCTTTTGCTCTGGACTGTTCTGAAATGCAGTTTGAATTCAGGTGTGTTTAATCTCCCCCTGAGACTATCCAGCAAACCACTTAAAATTCACAGTTGGGGAACCTCAAGGGCTGGAATATATTTGCGGGCAGAGCTTCGCTGTGAAATCAATGGCCCTAATTAACTATCCAGGCAGGTTATGGGGAACATCGGAAACTTACACTTACCTTGCTATCGTCTCTCTTCATGCTTCTTTTGGGCTTACACATATACAAAGAGGAATAGTCCAGTCTGCAAAACAGAAATCAGCATCAGGCACCCATTCGGGGAGGGGCACTGTCCTTGCCCGATCCATACCACTTTCTGGAGAATAAAAAAAAAAAAAAATCAAACTGAAGCCTAGACAGATATACGCAAGGGTGCGTGCACCTTACCCTATAAAATCTCTATGTTCCAGTAACTGTCTCTCTTGCAAATGAGGAATTCCTTCGTCCATGTTCAACCGCTGTCCGTTTCCTCTGTTTCGATTTTTGGGGTTCTGTTCTATAATCTGTGGGACGATAGCTTTGGGAGATCTTGGGGTATCTGTGCGTCTCCAGTCTCTCTCTCTCCCTTCTTCAGTGCAGTGTTGAAAGTGTGAAGCAGTTGGTTCCCCCCCCTCCCACCGCGCTCGCTCTCTCGCACACACGCACACACACGCACGCACACTCGCGCCGGCCCCACTGCGCTGGTAGTTTGCTCTCACTCCGGGCAGTGTTTGGCCACAGGGCACGCGCGTCGCCGGCCAGACCAGCACCCAGCTCACGTGCGGAACGTACCATCCGCGGTCCAGCCCGGAGGGGGGCGGGGGAGGAGGGGCCGGGCCAGGAGGGGGTGTCGGGAGCAGGCTACGAGGGAAGGCGAGAGGCAGGAGGGGGCGGGGACACCTGATCAGGGCCACCGGAAAGGAAAAACAACTTCGGCCAAGCTATTCATCTTCCCAAAGGCGTTGCAGTCAGCTGGGGGAGGGGGTGGAGGCGCCGGGGGGTGCGGGGCAGCCAGGGCTTCCTCGGCTCGGAAATGCTACTCTCTCAGTTCGTCCGTCATTACGGTGCAGGAACGTGAACGTGGCTTTTTGCTTCGCCACCGACTGCACTGGTGGTTTGGACCAGAGAAAGGAAAGAAAGAATTCACGGTGGGTAAACTTCAGTCCCAAAAGAAAATTTGGAGACTTGTTTGCTCACCGCTCAGTGGCCTGGGGGGACCCCTTGGCCCTGGTTGGAGGTTGCCCCCTAATGGGGCAACTTGAAATCCGTTCCCTGAAAGATTTAAAATAAATGAAAATGTAGTCACTGAGTCAGAACGTCGCAATCCAAGTGTCTTTCGGTGACACGGTGTCCCTGGGCCACCCAAACTTCCCGCAGCAGCCGGAATTGCGGTGCCACTAATCACAGAAGCAGATGACGACGTTTGGGGCCTCTGGTGCTCCCAGAGGAACGCGGCTGGAGGGAGGGAGGAGGTGGGGGGGCACAAGAGGGGCTACCGCGGAAAAGCAATGCAGCATTATCACTCGCCGGCTAAACTCCGTAGCCCCTCATCGCCTCCGGTGGTGCTGCGTGGTCTCCCACCCCCACCACGTACCCCCTCCCGCCGTGCGATAAGCGAAGCCGGGAGTGTGCAGAGCCCACGTTTACTACCGCTGGCACCTCCAAAGCCTCCCTCCTTAATCCTGTCTCCAACGGGTACCAGCACAGGGCCAGCAACGTGATCCGACCTGCCGCTGCTGCCACATCACTGCGCGGGGAACCCGTGCGCGCGCGCGCTCGCTCGCCCTGTGGCCGCGGCGCCCGGCGCGGGGAAGCACAAGCCAGCACGAGCCGGGTTACCTCTCCCCAGAGCCATCCCGGGAGCATGACTCACTGCTAGCGAGAGTTACAAGAGGTGCCCGGAGATGCGCACTGCCCACGCCGCCCGGCGCAGCGGGCGACCAAGGGCCTTGGAGGCCGGGGAAAAGCTCGTCCCTGCGGGACTCCCAGGGCTCCCGCCCCACTGCTGCCGCTACTCGGCTCTGCTGGGGGCGGAAAGGAGAGAATATATGTTGATTTCTCTTATATAAGTAGATAGATATAAAAATCGCAGTTCTTTCCATCCTGCAGCAAGAGTAAGGTTCACATTCTCCTGGGTTATCCCCGAAAGCTTCATGATTGCCAGCGGCGCACGAACCAAGGGGAGAAGTACGCCGAATGAACGCGCACAGGGGCTCAGCGGGGGCTGGGGCGGTCGCTACGCGAACCCTCCCGTATCGCCCCCCCCCCACCGGCCCTCCCCGCAAAGCGCGGGTTCCGGGGACGGATCTGGGTCGCGGGAAGCAGCGGCTGGGAGGAGGTCACGTGTCTGCGGGAGTCGCGTCTCCTCCTAGCTTCCAGGAGCCGCCCGGCCGCGGTGGCGGCGCGCGCTGCTGCAGTCTCCCGAGTCCTGGGCGGAGACGCGCGGCGTCTGGCTTCGTGACTCCCGCGGCGGCGGCGGCGGCGGCCCAAGCTCACCCGGGCAAGAGGAGACGCTCGCGGTCCGTCCACTTCGTCTTGGGAGAGGGCCCTTGAAGGTCTCTCGACTTCCTCAAATATGGGGACGGAGTTTGCACCAAACAGGCAGTTTAATAAGGATAATACTTAGAAGAAGTGATTTTTAAATACTGGTTTTATTTTAACCTCGATTCAACCTCTCTCTTGTTTCCAAGTCATTGGGTGGTTAATTCTCTCTAGTGGGGAGGGTAATTTGATGCCCTCCTAGCGGCATATGCCTGCAGTACTGTCTGCTTGTTCTAAATTGACCCAAAAAGGGGGAGGGGAGGAGGATACCTTTAAGGTGAAACCTCCCTTTATGGTTTGTGAATGTTCGAAGTAAGAAAAGGCTAGATAGAATATTTAGTGAAAATAAGGTCTGGTACACTTCATCTTGGCCTTGTCGATAGAGCAGACAAGACACAAGGCAGACGTCTGACTAGGGCCAGCCGTAGGGCCTGATTCTGGCGCGGACTCTAAAACAGTTCAGAAGAGGAGGAAAAGGCAAAGAAGACTAGTGAATCATGGGTGTGTTATTGGATGTACACTTACCGTCATTGGAAGACATCTCTTTGCTTTTTGTCTTTTTTCTTTCATTGTTCACCTGGATAACTCTACTTGCTTATCCACTTCCTATCAGGCATAGTTTAATGCTTTTTAATGTCCTTTTGCTGCAAGGAGGGTATGAAAATAGCTAATAACTAAGGGTATAATAATAGCTAATAAGTAATAATAGCTAGTAACTAATAATGGCATTTACAATTAGAGAACCTGAAAACCACTCTAGGGGCTTTTTGTGTATGAACTCATTAATCTTTTCCACAACCCTATAAAGTAGATCCCATTATTGCCTCCATTCTACAGATGATGTAGTAGATAGGTAGGGAGATAGGAAAAAATGTGCCTATGCTCCCAGAGCAGGATTTAAGCACAGACAGTGGGCTCCAGAGTCTCTGCTTTTAATGATTATTACCCCTTGGTGGGAGTAATAGGGCCAAAGTCTGAATGTTAAGTAGCTGTGTTTTAAGCAATTTACCAGTGTCAGTGAGTATGGGCATTTGTTGTAGTATGTGTGTGTTGTGTGTGTGTGTGTGTGGAGGGGGGGCATTGTTGGAAGAGAGGTTGGAAAGGAGAGGTGTTAGCACTGGAATATATGGCAGAGAAAGAAAGATATGAGAGAAAGAAGGATAGCAGTCTTTTGTCAGTGAGTGATTGATTCCATTGGCATCTAGCTTCAAATTTATTGATTTAAAGCCAAATCTCCTAATTAATTGTTATAATTTCATACAGATGGACACATGGAAGTACAGTGTAGAAAAGGCTAACGTTGGCCAGCTGTTCACCATTTCCACTGAGCAAACCATGCCGAACTCTAATGCGAAGACTGCAGGTTAGTAATAGCAAAAGTTCACCTGTGGTGAGGTTAGAAAGGGAAAAAAAAATCGCCTAACAAAGGAACAGAAGACTAGAATGCCCTCTTTGGGTATGTTTAAAAATAGGTTGAGTCGTATTTTTTGAGGAAGATTTAATGCTGTCCTGCTGAAAGCCAAGGAGATACAACATGAGCTTGAAACCCCTTTGAGCCTATAATTAGAGAATTTTGTGATGGCTTGCTTTCAATTAAAGATACCCATCTTTCTCCTTTTAATAGGTGAGGGGGAACCTGCTTCCATTGCTTTTCCTTGGTTAAGTAGGGAAATCACTACCTATAGAGACGCTAATGAAAGGGAACACTTATCCCAGTTCCCACCCCCTGCCCCACCCCCTGCCCCACCCCCACGTAAGTATTCTGAGCGCTACGCTCATTATATTCACCTTGTGACTTCGGAAGGTCTTACCATGTTTGCCTGCAAAGTCTTGGATTTCCAGCAGAAACTGAACTCTCCTGAGAGGATTAAAGTTTCTGTAGAGAAGAGAGGTTTTCTGCCTCTAGGGTTCTGTAAGCCCTACCAGTCTCCGGGGAGGTGACTAGGGTGTTTTGGGATTCCCAGTCTGATTCAAACTTAGCGGTCATCTTTAATAGCCTTAAAGATCCCAGATCTGCCCCTACTACTGTGAAAATACCCCATTAGTGGGGCAGATGTCTCTCTTAAGCACCTGTTTTGGGTGGTGGACAGAAAATTTACAGTCGCTCTACATCGTTTTACATCAAAAAGTGAAATGCATCCCACGAAGCAGAGTTCATAAAAATCTGAAGTAAAAAGTTTATGATTAATGCTAAAATGAAGATGGGGGTGGGGCCGAGTGAGACGGTAGATTAGGGGTAAGTAAAAGCTTCCCCTGGAACCCTTTCTCTGGGCACTCACACTGCTCTCAATGGAGAAAAGTTAGTGTGGTCAGGCGCAACACAGAAAGAAGGCCACCTCACAGAAGGATCTTAGAAGGGAGGGAAACCCCAGTGCTACTCACCAGGAGCCAAATATAGCTTTTAAACATTGATAATGTTATTTTGTGAAGCTACCAGATTTAAAATCCCAGAATAGAAGGTTGGGTTTTGCAGTTCCATACTCAGCAAATTAGCAGGAACAGCACAAGTGTCTCTGTTTAATTTGTAAAAACTTAAGTCTTTCTGGAGACTACCAATTAATGTGTCTGTGGTTATAAACGTACACATGAATCACATTTTATATTTATGTTAACACTGCTCCAGAAGTTTATACACTTACTCGTCTTTACATAGCATCAAGGAGCAGGTAATAGGAAGTAGAAGAAATGAATTTTATCAGTGCTGAAACCTTGTGTTTTGTAATTATGTGATTAATCACAAACACTTGTCCAGGTTGTCCTGAATTTAATATATGCTTCAAATTCCTAAAGGGATCACATGCAAAAGCCAACCAGGAGAGACAACTACAAGGGGGATCTCCCTGGCTCTTCTCTCCTCAAGTATTTGCCTGGTCTCTCTGGGGGCCCACGTGCTTAAGATTCTAATTGAACCCAGAAAAGTAGAGTGAGGAGCACGTGACAAGCCCATAAGGATTTCAGAAAAGTCCCTGCATTTCTCTGGATTCTCCTGGACTAGCCGGATGGTGGAATCCAGAGAAGCTGCATGAAGATGGAGTCTTTGGACATCTTTCCCCTCACCCTTGTTACAGCTGATGAAAATCTGCAAAAAGTTTTCAAAGAGATACATGCTTATGCATTGTGAAACACAACTGGGAATGAATAAGATGTACTAGACGCCCATTTATCTCACCTGCCCGTTACAGGGATGTTCCTTGAATACTGATTTCGGATGGTGTCTGCCCAGCGCGGAGAGCTGTCTGGTCTGCTCAGAGTCTGGTACTTTATAAGGGCAACAAAAAGACTTGCTAGGGAGGATTTAATCTACGCTTAGAACTGCCAGTAAAATTTATTTGACAGTTAACTTAAAGCAACTTAAATTCGTATCTAATTATCCAAAAAGGTAATATGGTTCTGATATTAACTTATAATCATCCTTGACAAGGAAACTGATGGAAATCTAGACTCGATGTATCAGTTAAGATCTGCGTTTGAGCATTCCTTATAATTTCTACCCAATAACTTCTGCTTACGTCGACGTCCTGTCCTATTACAGGAGTGCTAGAAGTACAGTTTTCTAGTTGAGGGTCTCCAATAATGTAGGGGTTCTTTTAGTACAGAGGGAGCAGAGAATGGATATTGAGTCAGCGTGAGCCATCTCTGTGGTGGTCTGACTAAAGGAAATGGCTTGTTCAGGTCCTCTTCTCTTCTTCGCCAGTGGGCCTTTTTTCTCTTCTATGCCATATGTGTTGGCAGTGTCCCTTTATTGTATGAGGGTATTTAATATCAATTTCAGAAAATTTTCAGTCTTTCCATCTGCAGTTGCCCAAACTTAACTAGCCCCTTAAGCACATGCTTTTTAACATCTGTATTCTTAAGTGCTAATAATTACAGAAATCTGTGTAAGGAGGGAATTTACCAGGGTTTGCTTTTCCTGCAGAATGCAAACTGCAGCTGCATGTTTTCTGGGAAGTGATTGTCTTCTTTTTTATGTAGCGGCATCTGTTCCCTGGTGGTTCTGTCCGCATCGCTCTGCCTTCCGCCCATGGCATCTGGGTTAAAGGAAGACCCCCCCTGCAGAAAGCTCTCTCTGGTAGGGTCCACCTGCCTGTAGCTGGGACTTTGCCCTTCATCTACATCCTCCACTTCCAGCAACACCGGCGGAGGCCACAACGACTTTAGGTCAGAAGATTGTGAGTGACTTGGGTTCTTAAATCGATGAGGGAGGAGAGGAGAGGGAGGGGAGAGCAGCAGGATGGGAGGTGGGGGGCCAGTCTCTGAGGCTGGATGGAGAAGTGAACCCTGTAAGAGAAGGCATCTCTGGGACACGTTAATGTGCACTGGTATTCAGGCAGTTGTCCAGCAGACCTTATTTAGTTCTCTCCACTCCTGGATCTAGGCTCCATCAACTCCACTTTGTAGATGGAAAAACTCAAGTTCAGAGACTTTAGGTAACTTGTCATTGCCGTGTAGTTAGTAGTGAAGTCAGGCAACAGAGAACCTGAGGCCTGAGGTGTGCTGCTGGGCCATGTCCCCAGAGTTCAAGATTCTAATGGCCGTCTTCTCCTCTCAACCCTGGAAGGGATCCCCTCACCCCAGCCTCTACCTTCCTTGGTGAAGGCCCTCCAGGTCATCGGAGCAGTTGCCAGAGGCTGGTTAGGGCTGTTGAGAGATGACAAAGATGGTGGGATGAGGCATTC